TCTAAGTGGTATAATTAGCAATCCAAAAAATTTCCACTTTTCCATACCTTACTAAGAATGTCCAGCTTCATATTTGGGTGTGTACGTCGTACACTGGTACACATAATAATATGGCGAATGCTCTGCGAATGCGTAGCTCGCATGCGCAGAACATGCACAGACCGCGAGCTGCGATCATGCATTGAAATTTATTATTTATACGAACCTCGTATGCGTTGAAATGTCGTAGTGGCCCGGAGGTTTAAGACTCCCGCTTCTCATGCATGAGTGTGGGGGTTCGTAACCTACGAACGGCAAGTACCAATGTAACTTTTTCCGAGTTATATGTACTTTCTAAGATTATTCAGATTACTCACAAATGGTGAAGGAAAATATTTATAATGTCTAATTATAAGTTTGAAATCGCCAACCCGGATTGAGCAAGCGTGGTGATTAGTGCTCAAACCTTCTCCGTGTGAGTAGAGGATTTGCTCAGCAGTGGGCATTATAGGCTGTTGGTGTGATGTGTGATGTGTACATGCGTTGAGCACCAAACCATTCCCGTGATTGCAAGTGCTTACCAGCAGCCCACAAAGTGGCACATTCGGCAGATGTCAAAATCATAGTCAAAATCATTTATTTCAATTAGACCAGGAAGGCACTTTTGAACGTCAGCAATAGAAATTTAAATTTTCCTTTTTTATATAGGAATTTTTATTTTGACATGTACATACCTTTAATGACATTGTTTTCTCACTTAATATGACATACCTTGTTTTATAGTTTTAATGATTATGACTTCCATGTAAGAGTTTTGCACGCCCGAATTGTAGGCAGAATAAGAGGGACTATAATTATAATGTGACCACTCTCGGGCTACCTTGTTCGGGCAAATAAATGATTTAGATTTTTGATTTAAAAGTGAAGCTATTTGCTCATTCCAAGGTGTAGATTACTATGGAGAAGAACGAGCAAGAAACTCCATAGGTTACTCTTTTCCAATTAGGTTCACAATCCAATTCTCCAGTGACACAGTTTTATTGGTTCGATTGTGCGAGAACAATGTAACACCAATGATGTGGACGCACCCTTACTTAAACAATCATAATATGATTATTTAGTATCATGGTAGGATTTGGACATATTTTTTCAACACTATTTCAAATATCCTAAAATATATATTACTTAGATCCCCTAAAACCTAATCCACTGACAGCTAGGTTATTGAGTATGTCCTAACTTTAATCTAAAGGTCTAGTTATTTCATTCTTGGATAACCTAAACTTTGTCTAGATACTATACATATTTCTATCATCGGCTCCACTCGTTTTTAATCTGGTTTTTTTTCGAGTAAGTCCCGATGATGTAAAAATTACTAAAACGTGGGTAAGCAAAATATGTTACTTCCTAAAATGTATAGGTTTTTGATAGTTAACAGTACATATGCCTTTATTTCACTGAAAGGTCGGCAGAAACACGGATTTAATATAATTAAACTTATTATCAACAATAATAATGTATTACCTGAGTAATCGACATAATATTGTCATACATGTGGTACAATTCTAAACTCTATACTACTTATTTGTTTAAAAAAATACCCATAAGTACTTTATTCAACCTGAGAATTGAACCTCAGACTAATGGGCTTCGCAGTTGTTTGTAATTACTAGACCAGAAGAGATGTACGTTTAATAATATTTATTGGAGTTTTAGTAGGTAGTCTTTCGATATAAACAGACAAAAAATATTTCCCCTTATAATATTAATAGTACAGATACAAGTAATCTTAGCTATACCCATATTTCTAAGATAACTCCTAGATATATTTTATGAGCACTAAAATTGGCTATTATTGCGAGCTAGCACGGCCTTGCGGAATGAACTAACAGTTCATTTATTTCAGTACTTAAGTCAAGCACTATATGTTTCAGTGGGTTTATCCTGAAATTCAAGCTGAAATAAAGGCTAAGTGTTTTTATGTATTCAATAAACTTAATTTGTTTGTGTTATTCCATGAATAGGTGTAAAAACCAATTTCACATAGGTGAATAATGATTAATCAGTGTCAGATCCAAAAGATAAATTTTTAGACATAGTTCAATACATACAAATAGTTTCTCTAACTGGGAAACGAACATGCAATTCCTTATATAGCAGCCAACTACCCAGCCATTATAGATGCCATGCAGGTGATTCAAAATTTACTTCGCATTTACGAGCATATCATCGAAGTCGTCAACAATAGTCCATCAAAATCCATTACAAAAAAGGGGTTTGCCATAATCTTAATTTGCTTGGCATGCAAGATTATTATGTTGCATCAAGTGTGGGGGAGCCATGCTTCGGCACGAATGGGCCGACTCGACCGCAGTGATACCACGGCCTCACAGAAAACCGACGTGAAACAACGATTGCGTTGTGCTTCGTGGTGTAAGCGAGCTTACCGGAGGCCCAATGTCCGAATCCCCAACAATCCTCACGCTATTGTAACGCCTCTTGTGTTTCAGGTGTCCATGGGCGGCACTGATGGCTCACCATCAAGTGATCCGTCTGCTCGTTTATCGGCTTATACCATAAAAAAGTATCACAGAGCGCTGTTGTTCGTTCTCTCTATAATAAGTAGTTATTAAGTTGGTTATTACGATACCCATGAGAAGAGTAAGGAAAGTGCTAAATGTATTCCACTATTATTATTTTACAAACACAACACAGACACACATAATTACAGAAAATATCTTTATAAAATGCCATACACATCATAACATTCCTTCTATACGAATCAATAAACACGACGTTCCTATCTCATGACGTCATACCATTGTCATATGACAGGCTCTCTAACAACAGCGGCTGGCATTTTGATCAAAATTCATTTTTAGGGTTCCGAACCCAAAAGGTTATAATGGGACCCTATTACTGAGATTTTGCTGCTTGTCCGTCGGTCTGCCACCAGGTTGTATCTCAAGAATAGCAAGTCTATTAAAGGACCCCGTGCCCCTAACAGGTACTGAAGGTGGCCACCGAGGTGGTTATAGTGACATAAAAAACCCACACTCACTAGTCTTTCTTCCAAAAAGTTTGGAGCCGTTTGAAGGTGTCATCAAAAAAAATGTATAAGGAAATTGTTCTAGTGTCTATTCATCTATTTGCTGTGCTTTCCGATTCCTATTGACCCCATTTTACATACATAGTTGAAATTTTCACAAATTGTGTATTTCTGTGATCGCTGTTAGCACATAATAAAATCAATATTTAAGGGGTGCCTTCATACAACAAATGCAATTTTAAGACCCCTCAGCGCGATAGTCTGACTCGCACTTGGCCGGTTTTGGGAACCATTGTTTGTACTCCAATGGAATGGAATATTGTCACGTGTTTTCAATTCAAAACGTTGGAGGTGAAATTTTAAACATTAAATGTTCGTTGAGAATATATTTTGTGATAGAATGATGAAAAGAAAACTGAAAATGTATTCGGTACTTTTTTTTAATTTATTTATATCGGTGGATCGGATGTTTGAATCCAATTAGATGTGTAGGTTTTAGTAAGTTTTCCGGAATAGCTATTCATTTTTCATATATCCAGAGCTCTCTGGAGGTTTTAACGGTTATCTGTGTCTGGACAGCCACTTGATTTGGACATGAAAGTCCACTCTTGCGAATCGGAGCTATTATTTGAAGCAAGTATAACAGCTCACACATAGAACCCATTTCACACATAGGGCATAATGTGGTACAGAAGATTTTTTTTGGCCATTAGGTATCTCGACGACTCCTGTAAGCCAAGATCTATAATAGTATAGATCTTGGCTTACAGGAGTCGTCGCAGTTTTGGTAGGTTGTGACGGGCCTTTATCCTTTTAAAGGATAAAGGCTCAAATGAATACCAATCTCAATCTACTGTCTTTGAAATCAGATCGATTTTTGACATTAACTGTATGCAGTTTCTGACCAAATAAGAAATTGGTTCTGAGGACCGGTAGTCGACCTTTACGACTCCTTCTAGAAGTCAAGGGTTGAATAAGAATAAGAATGTTTATTTGCACGAAACACATCATCATCAGACATCGTCTACTATTTTCGGCATGTTATAAACAATAGGAACTAAAACTTGTTTCTTACAACTTTGATAATAAATGTTTTGTTCTAAATTAACTAAAAACAACGGTTCACTCACATAAATATGGTCTACTAGTAGACTGCGCGACATCACTGCGTCCGTAGATACTGCTCATGAGGAAGAGTCCCACTGTGACTTGAACCTAGTACAGCTTTTTTCAGTACGTATCACGACAGTTATTATGTAATAACTTGTTACTATTATCTTTCTTATTTATTAACATATCTATCATTCTAGAGACATAAGTATTGCACTAATAGTTTCGTTGTTAGAATCTTATTCAAGGTGTAGAAGTGTAAGCTGGCGATGGTACATAGCACTACGCAGCAACAAGATTAATTTAGTAACTATCTTTTTAGCCAACAAACAGTGGTTATCTAGAACAGTAATGGAACTTTAGTTAACTAGTAGGTAGTAATTAACAGATGAAAAAAGCCGTTAATTAAGACCGCCAATCAACAGGGTGTGCCGCTTTTAGTTAGAAGCAATTATTTCGGTAACACCTTCTATTACTGGCTGCTAATTAAGGCCCGTGGTTTTGTTTGTCATTTGAATAATAATATAACGATGACATTGTCAGTTTTACTAAAAAAAATTGTAGATAAAAAAGGTTTTAGTTTGAGCTAGTGATAACCTTGAGGACAGTTTTTAAATTTAATAGAAATTTTACTACGATTTCATTAGGCTGTAGTGTGTGTGACACCTCGCCCTATAAGTAAGTAGTGTAAGTTAGTTATTAAGACACTTAATTAAAGATATTCATAACACTAACACGTCTTCTTCGTTGCTCTACTTTGCAAGGTAGACTTTGACTTTGACTTCGTAGGTACTTAGTAGCCTTTCCAAAACAAAAAAAAATTATAATAAAGTACAAATTAGTTAAGAGTTTTCAAACTTACGTTTTTCAGCATTCAGAAAAAATCTGAAACAAACGGAAATAAAGTTTTAATTTGCATAAAGATTACATCAAGAAAATAATTCCTTTCCTCAGCCGTTCTGCAGTTTATAATAGGGTGATAGTAATTTAATTGTAATTCGTCCGTAAGTTAGGTGATGAAAAAATATTAGACACGTATTTTTTTATTTAGTCGTATAATAAAAAACTTAGATAAAACGAATCAAAGTGTAGGAGTGGAGTGGAGGCTAAAACGTCATTTCTACGTATATAAAATGTACATAGAAGTGACGTCACGCGATATTTCAAATCAATATATCGTCGAAAGTATTCGTTTCTGTAAGAAATAAAAAATACGTGTCTAACGATTTAAAATAATCTACCAGACGGACATTAAAATATAATTAAACATCTAACTTATTATAGTAGCTATTACAAGAAAGTCTTTAAAAAAAGCAATATGACTTTGTCCAACCCATGAACAGAACCCAAACATTCAGCACTCAGTTAAAATTTATAAACATAAATTTTTAAACCCATTTTGTAATCATTTTAAAACAGATTTTAACCGTACTATAAAAATGTAGGCCTGTAACACTTCGGTAATCCTGTCAGGCAACATTTCGTTTTATTTTAAAGAAAAAATCTTGCACATGCGGGCAAACAGAAACACACTTGAAACTTTATATAAAAAATTAAAAACGCCGCATGTCCTGTGAGGTCACAGTTACAGCGAACAAGCTAGTTTCAGCGGAAAAGTATTTTGTAAAGTATCAGAGAAAGTTTGTTAAACTAGAAATGTGAACATAAAAATCAAATATTTTATAGTTCTGACGTTGATATTTCTTTTTTAACACGTAAATTGCCTTGGTAGTCGCCGGTGATGGACGGAGAATGTTCCTTCAACAGTTTTCAATTAGGACTCATTTTTTACTTTTTAAAGACGACTCTCTGTATCTTGAACATCTGGAACTAATTCCCATTCCCATGCACCACATATAAAAAAATTAAAATTTGTAAATTATAGAATTGGACATCTAAGACAAGGATTAGCCGCAAAAAGCTTGACACAGAGAGGAGTGGAAGGAGGGTAGGGAGGCCTTTGCCCTGTAGTGGGACGATCATGACTGAAAATAAAATAAAATAATATATAAGTTATGCCGAGACTAATAACTCAATTCTCAATTTAACCTCAAAATCGAATTTATAAAGTTACAAAATATCATATAATGCATAGGAAGTATTAAAAAAACGCTGACAAATAGAATACCAACAGTTTTTGACACTGAACACTTTATAGCTTAAAAATGGCAGTAGCTCATTTTTATTTCGCACTGACTAGTTCAGTAATGGCTATAGATCTTCATATGACAACTGAGAACGGTTTTACGACCTCTCCGTTAAATTGGAGTGAAGTATTGGTTACCTCGAGACCCAAAGATGCATGGGCCTTAGTTGTAACAATTACTATGGCATGCGAATATGCTCTTAGAGCCATAAAGGAAACCTTTGTAGGAATATACATTATGTTTTTTTTTATGGCATAAGCCGGTAAATGAGCAGACGGATCACCTGATGGTAAGCAATCGTAGTCGTCCATGGACACCTGGAACACCAGAGGCGTTACGAGTGCGTTACCGGCCTTTTGGGGATTAGGAGTTTGAGGATCGTTGGGGTTTCAGGAATTGGGGAGATTGGGGAAGGGGAGGGTAATTGGGCCTCCGGTAACCACACTCACACGACGAAACACAACGCATGCTGCGTTGTGTTTCGTCGTGCATGCTGCACAACGACGTGAAGCAGCCTTCACGTCGGTTTTCTGTGAGGCCGTGGTATCACTCCGGTCGAGTCGGCCCTTTCATGCCGAAGCATGGCTCTCCCACACTAGAAAACTGTTGTACGTACTTGATTTTATCTGTGTAGTATGTAACTTGTTAAAATCGATACCATTGCTTTTCTAGATTAAAATGTAGGTAAATATGGTATGGTATGGGTAGGCCTCCATCCAGCAGTGGATGTCTCGTGGCTGATATAATGATGATAATTAAAAATGTTTTTGTAGAAGTAATATTATTGTAAAACCAATAAACTTAGTCATACAACCGTGATTTGTTAATGAAACTACAATAATTTTTCATTCAATTTAATATAGGTTTGGTAAAAGCTTGTTGATTTTGTTACGAAATTCGTAGGGTCAACAAGTTAAATATAGAACAAAAAATATTATGGTTAGGCACCAAAATAATATTCCTCGTCACTGTCATAGGAAAACGTTCCCAGAAGACTGGCAGCAGCTGTATTTATAGTAATGTTATTCTTTGACCAAAGAAAACGTTGGTCTGGTCACGTATACGGCCGACAAAACGGTCAGAAGCAGGCTTGTACTTTGGTTTAAGTTAATTTAAATATCGTTACAAATGAATTAATAGAATAAATATGGCAATTTTCTGTTAAAATATTCATAATACTAGAAGTGTTTTAATTTTATAGCATTGATTTGATTAACAATCAGATCATCGTCTACTTTAATAGAAAGTAGTTACCCGATACTATAGAAATCTTTCTATTCTTTGCACATCTCACAATCAGATTCTACGTGAAATTAAGTTAAAATATTCAAGTAAATGAAGACCTTAAACCATAGGTTTCATTAAGAGCATTTTATTTTTTTTTATCAATAAGTGCTACTAGCTTATCAAATGCTTTACATAAATCGCTATCCGTCCACATAGAGGCCCCACCTTGTTTGTTAAAGGGCACATTTACATCGGACGAGGGATTAATAAAATATGATGATGCGGAGACTTCCCGCTCAAGATAAAGCGTTTCTCTTACAAATACAATTTAGCTTGTTCCTCGCAACACTGCCCTGGGGAACTCCTATAAACATATTTTAATTGTATTTATTATTTAGTTAGGCTGTATCTTTCGTCGAGTGGTTGCTGGAACTACAGCTGAGCTTGAGGTTGCTGGTGACTTGTGAGTTAAAGTATTATGTCTTTTTTGTTGTGTCGAAGATGGGAAGATGATGTATAGGCGGTCGCGGGGCCATGTCGGATGAGGACAGTAAGAGATAGAGAATTAAAACACATTAAATTCATTATAAAATGGATTTAAAAATGTTTGTTGGTAATACGTAGTTAAGTTGTAAAAATTAAGATAAATGTAACCCCAAAGATTGTTAAGAAAGGCTTTTTATTTTTATTATTATTATTAAAACACCCCGGTGCCCAGAATCAGCACATGTAAGTGGCCCCGGGTCCTTTAAAAGAGACCTGCTTCGGAGCCCTCACGGTGCAACGCCTGTTACGGAACATCCCTAGAAGCAAAGTATTACCGTTTTTTTAAATTGTCAATAATTTCGGATGTGGTATCGAAAGACAAAGAGCTCATAACACAAGATTATTTCCAAAGTAAAACAACAAGTCTCATTGCAGTAAGAAGCAAGTTCATTGAATCTAAACAATGTCGAACTACTTAACATTTTAAAATTAATAAACTACTTACGATTAGAATACAAGATGAGCTAACCAACCATGCTGCCCAGCCGCGACGACCAACTCAAAGCACCTTATTCATAAATATGAGGCAATAAAAAAAGCAATAAAGAGTGCAATCTCAACACATTGTTTGGAACAATGTTTATGATTAATTCAGCCAACCGTTTTAGCTTATCTGTAGGATGAACTTAAGCAAATCTTCGTACCAGGAACTTAATGCAGCCATTAAAGTAAATCAAAGCGTATAATTAACATTTAATGGGTTTATTCCGAAAACCATCAAATTAATCTTGAAACTTAATCAAGAATACAAGTAATGTCTACCCTTTCATCATCCTTTTGACGTACTACTGATGAAGGTTTTAAGGGTGCTTATCCTTTGAAGCAGTGAACAAGGATCCAATGGTAAATCGTTGTCATTTCGCTGATTTGTGCAAGGAAAAACGGTCGTTAGGCATTTGTTTGAGGGAACAAAGTTGTGTAATTAAAAATCAGCTTAATAGAACGCAATAATTAGATTTGATTTCAAGTGATCATTGTGTTGGTACTGGATCTTTAATGATAATGATTATGGAATATTTTTGGTAGATAATTTCGTTTCTTTGTTTCCACCTTCTTCTTATATACTATGCATAATTCTACTGCTATAATTTAAAAAAGCAATCGTGATCGATGTAAGTCACCTACACATGACGTACTAGTTCAAAACAACTTGCAACATGTTACAAGTCGATAATAGTCTTTAAACATTTAGTGCTACAAGCTGACTAGAGTTGGGCCAACAGTGTCATGTTTTGGATCTCTGCCCACCCTCGATCAGCCGAGATATAGGGTTACATACTAGATATATTCTTCTAAACTCCTCTGCCTGCCTCGTTGGCTGAGTGGTCGCAAGTGCGACTGCCGGCCCGCGTCTCGAGTTCGATTCCCGGGTCAGGCAAAGTATTACTGGGTTTTTTAAAATCTCAGTACTAGCACGGAGTCTGGAAATATGTCCGGTATATGGCAATAAGCTCACCCCCTATTACATGGGAGTCATAACATAAATAGTGAAAAGTGGGTGTTACATTGTACAGTGGCATTAAGTGCCGTAACGTGCACCTCTGCCTACCCTTTCGGGGATAAAAAGGCGTGATGTTATGTTATGTCTTCTAAACTCATTTTGTAACCTGTTTACTGAAATATTTCTTATTTTATATCTAAAAGTAAAAGTAAGGGTTCTGGGCTCGTTTCCAGGAAAACTTTCGTAGTACAGAATCGAAAATCCATCTCCGTAAATACACACGACATTAATATTTGTGATCTTTTGATCAATGACGCTGTTACAGTAAGAATCTAATTTTAATTAACTCCTTACAGGAAAAGGTTTCATTACTTTATCATTACAATAATTCTAACAAAATTATTATTTATGAATATCGTGGTAGCCCGGAAGTTAAGACCCCTGCTTCTCATGCATGGTTCGAAACCTACCAATGGCAAGTACCAATGTGACTTTTCCCAAATTATATGTACTTTCTATGATTA